CATAAAGTTGGGCACTGATTTAACTCCCAAAAGGCGAAAAATGAAGCTCATAAAACTTTTACACTCATGATTGAATTAAGAATCCTTTTTGTTCCATATTCAATAGCAAAAAGCATAAAGTTCACATAAATATCAAATAGATACAGAATTAATCTATGATATCAACATCACATTTTAAAAATGAATAGTCATATAATAATCCATATAAAGCTATCTACTAAATTAAACTTACAGAAAAAATAACCAAAAAAAAAAAAGATAATTATGGCTATAGGTGGATACGACAACTCTAGATTAATTCGGTTACGTACTATTTCCACTACAAGAAAGTGATGAAATCCCAACGAATATATATTTCAATGGAAATCTAACGACATATCCAATGGATATTCAATACTATCATTTCCGTTATATTTTTTAGTCGACTCCAATTTACTACATAAATTCTATCAAAAATATTACGTTGGATTGAATTGTTGGTACCAATTTGATCACGGCTAATAGAAGCGTGACACTTGGCAAAGCAAACGGAGATTCAAAATGCTCAAAAAATGGACATATAAACAACAAATTTTCTGTCAGGTAATATACCGAACCAAACAGATAATATACCGGATCGAAAATAAAATATATCAAACCGAACATGCAATATACCGAACCGAACATGTAATATACCAAATCGACGATATGAGGAACATGTCCTCAAATTCCAAACAGATTCAAAAATGCTGAATTGGTCCTCAAACGTCGAACTGGTCCACAAATGCCGAGCTGGTCCACTACGAAGCTGAACAATACCTAAGATGCCGAACAACTAACCCAACGCATGAAATGTTACATAACCATGCCAATTATTGTTGACAAGACATTTACTTACCTGACACTTGTCATGTATTAAATGGTGTCTTGTTCTCCTAGGGCATCCACAACCCTTTAACGCACATTTCATTCATTCAATAAAAAAGTAACACTCTCTCTCATCCACGTTATTTCCATATCATCTTTCCACTAAATCTCTCTTCATTTAAACACACACCCACGTTCCTACACATTCATTTAAATATACATGGCACCCATTATCCACTCATTCAATATAAATTTTATATTCTATTCTCAATAAAAATAAAATTTAATATTTTTAAATGCATGAAAATGAAAAAACACTACAAGACCAAAATAACTAAAATTAAAATTACACAAGAAAAAAAATAGTACAATTAACCAAAAATATTTTTTATAGTTGTGATATAGATAAAATTTGAATTTATTTATATTGGGAAGTGTGATATAGATAAAAAATAAAATAAATATAAAAACAAAAAGAAAAATGATTAAATAAAAAATATTTTAAAACAAACAATTAATAAAGAAAGCAATAAAGAAAAAAAAAAGATAAAGCATTGAACGCGTTCAGCAGAGTGAACGGTCCAATGGGCCCCCCTTTTAACGGATGAGCCGCAACGCGGAATAATGCAGGGAGGTTTAAACGCTGAAAAAATTACCCGCGAGGCGGATGCCCTGAGATAAATCTCATTACCCGCTGCTTCAATTTTGGATGGGCAACATGCGTTTTTCATTGAAATTCTCGTTAAATTTTCGATTTTGATGATTTCAATGATAAATTTTTCAACGTCTGAAATGTTGATGAAAATTCTAAGTATACTTCAACAGAAATTTCTACAATAATAAATCATTTTACAAATGATTGCTCGAATCATCAAATTGCAACTAAAATTTCAATGGAAAACAAATGTCGACGAAATATGTTTGTTGGATTTTATGTTTGGAATATATTATCCTTGGAATATGTGACTGTTTTTTTTTTTTTTTTTGGGTACCTAGTGGCCTAACTTCATTCTGGCTTTAAAATTTGTCGCTGCCTTGTAGCAAAATTTGGTGTAA